CCCGCGGCGTTCAGGCGCATCACTGCCTTCCCATCATGCACCACCACCACCGCCCCCTCCGCCAGCGTCACGGTCAGCTTCTCGCTGGCCTTCCAGGGCAGGGTCACTGGCTGGCCGTTCACCTGGGCCGCGGAGAGAGCAGGTCAGGGGTCAGAACCGGGCCGCTGAGGACCTCGCCATGGTAACTGTCCGCTACTACAAGCACTCTGCCTGTCCGCTGCTTGCTTTGAGTTTTGATTGCGGTTCTCGGGGCGATTACAGGCTGGGTGTTTCGATCAACAGCTGATAAGGACATGCCAATTAAAAAATAAATGGAAATTGTTTTTAACCTTAACAGAGAAAAACGGCAACCAAAAAGTAAGCATCTCCACACTTACCCAGACCTTCTGCTTGCTGGACACGGTGACCAGAGTCTCTCCGAAGAAGCCGAACACCACTCCCAGGGTCGGCTGGTCCTGGCCGCAAACGCGGACCCCAGCCACCACCCGGAACCGGCCCACGCTGGACAGCTGGCTGGCGGGGTGGACGGCCACATCGAAGTGGCCCCCTATCTTGAGGGTGCTGTTGGCCCCGTCGAAGGACCCCACGGAGCCCTGGCTCAGCGTGCAGGTGGCGTGGGTGGGGTAGCAGCCCAGGGCCCCGTTCCTCACCCCGCACTGGGTGTCAGCTGGGCAGCTGTGTGTCTCACACACCGCGTCGTGCCTGGCGTCGCAGGAGCACCTCTGGGTGCAGTCGTTCCTGTAGACGACCTGGCCGCCCTGCGACGGGAAGCACAAGCCAGTGAGGAGAGAGGGCTGCCGGCCCCCAGGGCTTCGCTGCGATGAACACTTTCAGTACACGTCCGATATTCAACAGGGAATATTACACTGCAGCAGTTTCCACAGGCACTGCGGTTGAATATCAGGTGTGTGAAGTGTCCCAGAGCCAGTACCAGCACCACAGCCTTCCCAACAGGGAATCCCAACATACAGAGCCTAACGGACGACCTGTCTGACACTCCGTTATTCCCCCTGTCTGTCATGTAATTACCATTCACCCCTGCGGCACATGTTTTGAAACTGAATTGCTTCATTACTTCCCGTTATGCTGTGGGTCTTGGGTACGTCGACTGCTCTCACTCGGGTTCGAGTCTGCCTACCTTCAGATACATCCCGACCAGGTCGCAGCCACAGTCCTGGACCGCCACACACTTGTTGCCGTCGGCGACGAAGCCGGCGTCGCACTCGCAGCCCTCCGCGCAGGTCTGGGCGCAGGTCAGCGGGCCGGTGACCGCTGGGCAGCTGCTGCCACACGTGTCGGCGCAGAGGGCGTAGTGGCTCTTGGCAGGACAGGAGAAGGCTGTGGGGGGGGACAGGAGGGTCGTCGTTTTGGGCTACGGATCCACAGAGAAGCAGGGGTCTCTGGGAACCCGCAGGCCCGTGTCCGGGTAGTGACTGAACCCGATTCGCAGAACTTCAGCAAAATGTACTCCGCTGTGATACTCACGACAGAAGCTGTTGCTCCTCCAGTTTTTCAGCGTGACCCCGGCCTCCTGGCAGGCTGTGACGTATGCCTGTATCCCCAAACACACTGCCTCCATCTTCCCCTCCGCTGCGAAGCTGTCAGAGACGCAGTTTTCCACAAAACCAGCAGGGGACAGCACTGAGTGACAAGCAGCCAGAGGCCCCTGGGGGGAAGAAATCAGCCCGCACTTGTCCGGCTTCTTCAGGGCCTCCTTGTCTTTGTCTACGGGCTTGGGGCAGCCCCCTGCCAGGCAGCCGTCCCCACAGAGCTCCTGGTCGCCCTCGAGTCTCCACGCCACCCCAAACTCGCTGGCGCTGCCTGCGGGGGCGCCAGAAGGAAGGGCGAATTCGTCGTCCACGCGGCCGTTGTAGTTCCCGCAGGCTCCCACCAGCTGGCCAGAGTAGGTGGACGGTACCGTGACGGACACGGTCTGCTGGAGGTCGTAGGTCACGGTCAGGCCGAAGTCGGCCTGCAGCACGATGCCCTTGCCCACCTGGGACACCCGGAGCTTCCCGCCGGCCAGCGAGAAGGGCAGGTTGATGCGGACGCCGTTCACCTGTCAAGGGGAAGACAGAGCATCTGTGAGGAGCGAGACTCCATGGTGAATCGGTTTCAAATGTCGTTTCTTTATCAACGTGGTTCCTTGAGGACTGATCACCAGTCAGTCACAGGCCTGACCTAACCAACCAGCACGGCTTAGAGGAAGTCTGGCCCAAATCCACAGGAACTAGCTGGGAACATGCAAGCTCCACACAGACTGATGCCCCAGACAGGACTTGAACCCGAGAAGCAGCACAGCCGGGACGAGGGAGGGGCACCACGCTCCCACTCACCCGTATCTGCCAGGGCAGGCTCTTCTCCAGGGCGACGGACACCTCGTACACCGACACCGCGACCGAGCGGGGCACGGCCAGCCCGCCGGCGCCCGCCCGCTCCTTCTGCAGCTGCACGGAGAAGCGCGCCAGCCCCGCGGCGGCCGAGCCCGACACCTGGGCCAGCGTGTAGCCGCAGGCGCCCTGGAAGTCGTAGCGCACCCCGTCGAAGGTGAGGTAGTGCGAGTTCCCGGAGACCGCGCAGCTGGCGTAGCTCCGCGGGTGGCAGGCCTGCACCCCGGCCAGCACCTTGCAGGTCTCCTGGGGGCCGCAGGAGGCCGCGCTGCAGGACACGGCGCCCGCGAGGCAGCTGCAGCGCTGCGTGCAGTCGCCCCGGGGGTAGAAGGTGGCGCCGGAGGGGTAGTAGCGGCTCTCGTGGGCGCAGCCGCAGTCCTGCAGGGGCACGCACTCGCCGTCGCTCAGCAGGAAGCCCGGCTGGCACTGGCAGCCCTCCCTGCAGCCCTCAGCGCAGCCGCGGGGGGCAGCCATGTCGGCGCAGGTGGCCGGGCAGCCGGGGCCGCACGTGGTGTACTCGCTGTTCCTGGGGCAGGAGGGAGCTGGAAGGGGGCGGAGACACAGGGCAGCACATGGTCACTGGTGGAGTGACCACACACACGAGGACTGTCCGATCCCAGCGAGAGCCCGGCCCGCCAGGAGCCTCTATGGGGCTGGAAGAAGACGTCACCCCCACGGATCTCTTCAGGACCGTGAAACGGGATAGGATATGGGCAGACGCCAAGGGGAGTGCGTTTCAAGTCAAAAATAGCTGGCACTATTAAACTATGTGGAAGTACACTGAAAGAGAGGAGGCACTACTTTACACAAAGGGTGGTGGGAGTGGGAAGCAGCTCCCCGGCCACATACTGTAGCAGAAGCCAGGAGGCTCCGGGACCGATTGAGTACTAACGCCCCAGTGAGCCGAACAGCAGCTCTGCCCGCCTGCGCCCCACCTACCGCAGAAGTCGCTCCTCCGCCACGGCTCGATCTTGCCGCCCGCGTCCTGGCACTCCTTGACGTAGGCGGCGATGACGTCGCAGGCGGCCCTCTGGAGGCCCTGGTGCAGCCGGAGGTCGAAGACGCAGCTCTCGTGGTAGTGGGCGGAGTCCACCCGCGCCAGGCAGTCCCGCAGCAGCCCGCTGGCGCTCCGGATCACGTCGCAGTCGGTCAGGTACGCCGGAGGCTTCTCGCCGGGGCCCGGCTTGGGCGGCGGCTCCGGGCAGTCCCGGCACTCGGGCGAGCAGCCGGGGGTGTCGCCCACCCGCTGGCTGTTGCCGAAGTGGGTGGGGCTCTGGGCGGCCTGGCCGCCGGGCAGGAGCAGATCGTCGCCCAGATTGCCGTTGTTGTTGCCGCACAGGCCGCAGGTGGCGCCGGCGTAGGTGCTGGGCACCGTGACGCTGACCGCGCTGCTCCAGTCGAACTGCACCTTCAGGCCGAAGTGGGTCTCCAGCACGGCGAAGGCACCACTGCGGTACACACTCGCCTGGCTGCCGTTGAAGTAGAAGGGCAGGGAGGTCAGAATGCCGTCGACCTGCAGGGGGCGCAAGGAAGGGCACGTCAGGCAAGGTCCAGCTGCTGTTCTCAGAGCAGAGTGATGAAGCCAGTTCAGAGATGGGGATTACTGGGAGGCTAATGGGACTTACGGCCAGGACACAGGGGTTACACCCCTACTCTTCTCAAGAAACGCCCTGGAATTTTTAATGAGCATCTGAAGGATGGTGCCATTTTTTACAGTAGTATCCCCGTCACTATACTGGGGCATTAAGACCCACAGACTGCGGGGTGAGCGCCCCCTACTGGCCCCACTAACAGCATCAGCCTTAGCTTTCCCAGTGTCTCCCCTCCAGGCTCACATCCGCTGGGCTTCAGTGGGTTTGATGGATCGAGATCTCCACGCCCAGCGCGCTGGTGCCCCTCTCCCTGATCTCCTCCAGCCCGGAGGAGCACACCTACCAGGATCCTGCCCCTGTAGTCCTGGCTGATGGTGACGGTGCGGTCGAGCACCTTGGCCGACACCACCCTGGCGAAGGACACCAGCCGGCTGCCACGGTTGTTGTTCTCCAGGGTGACGTCGAAGGCCGGCAGGCTGGGGTCCTTGGAGCAGACGCCGGCCAGCCGGTACACGCAGGTGCCCTGGAAGTCGAACCTGCGGCCGTCGAAGCTGCGGAAGTGGGGGTCCCCGAGGGCCGTGCAGGTCTGGTAGCTGAGGGGGTAGCAGTCCTGCACGCCGTCCACCACCTTGCACTGCTCGCTGGCCTTGCAGCCCCGCGGCCGGCAGGACACCGTCTGCGTGGCGCCGTCGCAGGCGCACTGCTGCTGGCACCTGGCGTCCGCCCAGAAGGCCTCGCCGGGCAGGTAGTAGCGCTCACCGTGGGTGCAGCCGCAGCCCGTCTTCGCCGAGACGCACCTGTCCCCGCTGAGCACGAAGCCCTCGTCGCACTGGCAGGACTCGGTGCAGGCCAGCGGGCAGGGGCTGCGCGGCTTGGGCTCCGCGCAGGTGGCCGGGCAAGGGCTGCCGCAGAACTCGTAGTGGCTGTTCTGGGGGCAGTTCAGCGCTGAGGACAGAAGAGCACGTCTTTACACCGAGGGTGGCGGGGGTCTGGAACAACCTACCCAATCAAGTGGCTGCAGCCAATATCAGAAAGAAGCTCAAGTGAGATCAATTACCTACTAAACCCCAAAGAGGTAATTTTACCCCTTAAAGATCAGAATAGCCCCACTCATTTGTAACCATGTTCCTACAGTCTTCCTCATTATACTGCCCGGTGCACCACTATCGCACAGCTGACCCACATTGGCCACTGTCGCCCCACCGGGTCTCCCGCGCCGCGGCAGGCCTGGTACTCACGGCACTTGGCGAGCTCTCTCCACTTGGCCGAGACCGAGGCCCCGGCCGCCCGGCAGGCCGACACGTAGTTGGCGAGGGCCTGGCAGTAGACCTCCTGCCGGCCCCTGTTCAGGCACACGTCGTACAGGCAGTTGTCGGCGAACAGCTGGGGCTTGAGGGCGCCGTGGCACTGGGCGAAGGGCCCGCTCTTGTCCTCGATCAGGCCGCAGAACCTCTGCCCGCGGTACAGCTCCTGGTCGGCGTCGGCGCACGTGGGGCAGGAGCCCTGGCAGTAGTGCCAGCAGAAGGGGTCGCGGTCCGGCAGGCTCCAGGACCGCGCCCACTCGGTGACGTTGGCGACGAGCACGCCCGTGGCCGCCATGTGGTCGTCCCCCGTGTCCGCGTTGTAGTTCCCGCAGAGGCCCTCCAGGTTGTCATAGTAACTGCTGGACACCGTCACCATGAAGAGCGTGGTCCAGTCGAAGACGACCTCCAGCCCGAAGTCCGTCTCCAGCACGGCCCTGATCCCCGACTGCACGATCCGGATGCTCCCCGACTCCAGGCTCACCGGGAGATTGGAGCTGATGCCGTCCACCTGGGGAGAGACCGGAGAGCGTCGGCTCACGGGATGACCTCCTCTCCACACTCGTTCAAATGACCGCTACGTGGTTTAACAGAACCGCGGCTCGGAGTGAGCCTTTTGAGCAGCCGGTTTGTGCAGGAACAGGCGCAGGAAGACCGGCTCGGCCGCGGGTCCCGATCGCGAGACGGGCGTGCCCCGCAGTGACAACACCGACACCCAGGTGGCGCCTCAGGGCTCTCAGGGAAGACGTTCCGAACGCCGTCAGTGGCGTCGTGACCCTGTGGCAGGACAGCATGCCGAAGAAAAACAGCGAAGCACCCCCCAGTAGACCCACACCGCGTGAAGAACACGGCCAGCCAGCCAGCGGGACCCCCCCTCCCTCCCGCCGTGCCCGCGCACTCACCCGCACGCGGCCCCGCTCTCCCCGCAGGATGGCGATCTCGTGCCCCTTGACCTGCACGGTGACCAGCTTGACGAAGGAGCCGTCCGCGTTGCCGCGCACCTCGTTCTTGTTGAGGATGCTGAAGGGCGTGAGGGTGGGGTCCCTGCCCGTGGTGCGGGCCAGGATGTAGCTGCAGGTGCCCTGGAAGCTGAAGGGCTTCCCGTCGAAGGACTGGTAGTGGGGGTCTCCCATGGCCCAGCAGGTGGCCTTGGACTGGGCGATGCACACGGCCTGGGTGTCCCGCACGATGCAGTCCTCCTTCTGCCGGCACTTGGTGTTCTGGCAGGGGTCTGCAGAGGCACGATCAGAGCCGCCTTTATAAAGGCTTCCAGGAGGCACTACCTTACACATAGGGTGGTGGGAGTGGGAGGTACCCAGTCATGCTGTTGCAGCAGAATAGGTGCCTTTCAAGAAAGGCCAGAAAGAGATCCTGGAATCAATTAACTACCAACAATCAAACAGGAGGACATCAGGTCCATCTTGCCTCTTGATAACGGTTCTTACAGCTTAGACACAATCTCATGAAGGACAGGGTGTGTCAGACCTTCACAAGCAGAAAATTGAACCTCAGGTCACAGAAGTCCCTCATCACAGAAAGACATTTCAACCCTGAGGCCAATGAGGAGGCAAGGAGCTGGGACAGCCTCTTCTCCTGTCCTGGGGCAGGATCGGGTCCCACTGAGGGTTCAGCTGTTAGATGTGGCCAGGGCAGGGGGCCTGCACACGTTTCCTTGCTTTTGTTTTTCCCCATGAATGCGGTGGGGGTCCGCTGTTGCCGCGGTTACCTTTGCTGTAGCATCCCATGACGCCGTTGCGGACCTCGCAGGCTTCGTCCGAGGCGCAGTCGGCCCGGCTACAGCTGAGCACACCCGCCTTGCAGGTGCACAGCTCGCTGCAGGCCTTCTGCAGGACCGCCTCGCCGGACTGCGGCACAGAGAGGCGCTGTCAGAGCCCAGGCAATTCACACACAAGGGGGAACATCGATACAACCGCAGTAACCGAAGCCGAAAACGGCCGGAGGACCGGATCTGTACCTTATAGTAGCGCCCCTCCACCATGCAGCCGCAGCTCTCCAGCGGGACACAGGCGCCCGCCGTGAACACGAAGCCCTCGTCGCACTGGCACCCCTCCTGGCACCTGGGGCACCGGACGGCCTGGCTGAGGGAGGCGCAGGTGGCCGCGCAGGTGTCGGCGCACAGCTCGTAGTGGCTGTTGGCCGGGCACTTCAGCGCTGCGGAGGGGGAGATGCCGTGGGGACAGTGAGGCGGGATCTGTGGTCCGAGACTTCCCTCTTCTCAAAACTTCCGCATGTTTCACTTGTAACGGGCTCACGTCTGATGACCGGTTCAGTTTAACAAGCGTTTCAAGTGGGTTTTAAAGCTACTATATAACAGTATAGAGCAGCACAGTGGCTCAAGGGGCAAAAAAACCCCAATCTATTCACCCCTCCCCCTTTAAACAGGAGCAAAATATCCCATAATAGAGACAAGGTAGTCGTAATAAAATGATATTCTGCAATCGCAAAGCCATCACACAGAGCAGAACACTCATTTATTCACAGTCCTGTAGGGAGGATTTGGTAAACCCTCCTCCGGCAGGGAATACACCGAGAAAAGTCTTCATGCTGAAGAACCCGGCTGTACGGTTTCCAATACCAAGGCCCATGTGACTTGGGAAGCAAAACCGTGGAGCCTCTAGAGAGAGCAATATCACACACACACACACACACACACCCCGTTGTCTTCGGCAGTCATTTGGGAATGATGGAATCATGGGAATGGCAGCAAGGGAGTGAGATCTTCTACTTACGGCAGAACTTGTCGGATCTCCAGATGCCGATGGAGCCCCCGGCGGCCTGGCAGGCGGCCGCGTACTTCTGGATGTGCCGGCACAGGATGTCTTGGTTCCCTCCCTCCGTGATCACTTCCTGAACGCAGTCGTCGAAGTATTCGGCGGGCGGCACGGCGGCCTGGCAGCCGGCGAACGGGCCCTTCGCGGACCTCAGCATCCCGCAGGCCGTCTCCTTCTCCGCCTCGGGCTTCTTCTTGTCATCCGTACCGGGGCAGTCGGTGCCGCAGCCGGTCACGCACTTGGGCTGCTCCTCCGCGGGCACCCAGCCGGCGGCGAACGCGTCCACACTGCCCGCCTGGGTGCCGCCCGGCAGCGCGAAGTCGTCCGCCTTGTTGTCGTTGTAGTTGCCGCACAGGCCCCCCAGCGCGCCCTTGTAGGTGGACGGGACGTTGAAGACGACGGACGAGGCGCCATCGTAACTGACCTTCAGGCCGAAGTCAGTCTCCGCGATGATGTGGATCCCACTCTGGTAGGCGGACACCCTCCCGTCCTCCAGCGACAGGGGCAGGTTCGCCCTCACGCCGCCCACCTGAGGGGGGAGGACAGCCGTCAAGACGGAGCCCACCTCTGTACACCTCCATGTCCCCGATCCTGAGGGAGGACCCCCAGATCAACGGGACGGGTGAGACAGGTTGTCCTTCTCTCAGAGAGAGGTTACACCAATAAGTCCAACCGATTCAAATCTCGCCTCCTCCCCTCTGAATGTGAAATTAGCATTTCCAGTCTGCAACAGGAAGGAAGGAGCTTCACTTCTGTCTTCGCTGTTGGGGGAGTTTTGCAAGACGATCGCCGAGACGGGAGGAGGACTCACCCTGACCTCCCAGCTGAGTCCGGGGAGCAGCGTCAGCTCGTAGCCGTACGCCCGGATCGCGACGCTCCTGGTCACGGTGACGCCCAGAGCCGACTCCTGGTGCACCGTCACCAGGAAGGGCGCCAGCTTGCCGTCCTTGCCGACGGCCTCGGCCACCCTGTACACGCAGTTCCCGAACAGGCTGAAGCCGCGCCCGTCGAAGGAGCGGTAGCGCGTGTTCCCGGCGATCCAGCAGGTGCCCGTGCCGGCGGGGTGGCAGCCCTGCACGCCGTCCTTCAGCACGCACTTCTCGTTGGGGCCGCAGGCGGCCGCCTCGTCGCACGCCGCGGCGCCGCCCTGCTGGCACACGCAGCGGTTGCTGCACAGCCCCCAGGGGAAGAAGACCTCGCCTGCCTTGTAGTAGCGGCCCTCGTGCACGCAGCCGCAGTCCGCCACGGGCACGCAGCGGCCGTCGCTGAGCAGGAAGCCGTCGTCGCACTCGCAGCCCTCGCGGCAGGGCGTGCCCGCGCAGGTCTGCGCGCTGGACAGGTCGCGGCAGGTCAGCGGGCAGCCGGCAGCGCACACCGAGTAGTGGCTGTTCTCCTTGCAGGCCACGGCTGGCGGAGAGAGGGGGGCGACAGTCATTACCGTGCCAGCGCTGGCGGCAGATCCACACGCAGCAGCAAACAGGTTTGTTAACGACGGCTCAGTGCTACTCCAACATCCACCCCACCGGCGGGCCAGATACACAACCACACCGGGGTGACGTGGGTGCCTCTGCTCTGCGCCCAGTGTTAAAAGCTCCGATTTCTATATAAAAGGTTATCTGGTTAGAGTGTCGAAAGGCCTTTCTATACCGTTTTAAGCAGGCGGTGTGGCATCACGGTTTCTTTATAACTGAGCTGTAAAGAATTCAAGACTGGCAGGGCAATGAATTGAATGTTCTGGTACCTCAGCACGATCGTCTACCATGCACCTTTAATTCTGCAATAAAGGCCGAACAGCTTTGCTTCCTAAATGCTCAATATCAGGGGCCATTCTTGTGCTCATTCTGTATAGTGCCAATAGTACACAGAGCTGTATATGGCCCCTGCTGGAGAATCACAGGGACCTCTATGCCGCTAACGTTTGAAAGGGGGCCGACGTCGCTCCTGTATCGCGCCCGGTTCCCAGAACACATGCAGGTCCTGCATCCGCGGGCTGCTCTACCCTCCCAGCTCAAAGACAGGGACCCCGCGGAGCGGCTGCACTTACGGCAGAGCCTGTCGCTCCTCCAGAGGGCCACGGTGGCCCCAGCGCTCTGGCAGGCGGTGGTGTAGGCAGTGAGGGCCTCGCAGAGGGCCGAGGAGTGGCCGCGGTACAGGCACACGTCGAAGACGCAGTTGTCGAAGTAGAGCTGGGGCTCGACCTTGGCGTGGCAGTCCTTGAAGGGGCCGCTGCGGTCCGTGATCCTCCCGCAGAAGTCGGCGCCCTCGTAGGCGCGGCGCTGGCCCGGGTCGCAGGAGGGGCAGACGCCGCCCTTGCAGTCGCTGGAGCAGCCCGGGTCGTCCTTCACCTTCCAGCTGTGCCCGAAGGCGGTGGGCGTGCTGGCGGGGGACCGGTCCGGCATCAGCATGTCGTCGCCGCGGTTACCGTTCCAGTTCCCGCACAGCCCGCAGACCGCGCCGGAGTAGGTGCTGGGAAGGGTGACGGAGAAGTAGCTGTTCCAGTTGAAGCTCACGGTCATGCCGAAACTCGTCCTCACCACCCCCGCGAAGCCACTGCGGTAAATGGACAGCTTGTTGTCCTCCAAGTAGAAGGGCAGGTTCACGTACAGCTGGTTGAACTGCAAAGAGGGAGGAGACAACGGTCATGCGTCTTGCCCTAGTGCCCCATGGAAGCACTGCCATTCCCATGAGCCGCCACTAGAGGCCGCTAGATAGGACCAGCTAATGCAACTCGCTGATCTCGCCCAGGTAACTATGACTGGCAAAGCAAGAAATTCAGAAGAAATTCCGTTCACTCAGAACCTCTTTAACACATGGAAGTGCATTGTGGACAGACTCCCTGCCTCTCAAAGGTCTGGGGCCGGACAGAGGGGCCTACCATGACTCTGCCTGGGCTGTCCTTGCTCATGATGATTTCGTGGCCGTAGACCAAGATCCTGACCATCTTGGTGAAGGCCACAGCCTTGTTCTGGCCGCGGTTCTCGTTCTGCAGGTGCACCTCGAAGGGCACCAGGCCGGCCGCGCTGCCACACAGCTTGGCCATCTGGTAGGTGCAGGTGCCCTGGAAGTCGAAGGTCTTGCCGTCGAAGGAGCGGTAGTGGGGGTCGCCGGAGGCCTCGCAGGTGGCGAAGGAGGCTGGGTAGCAGCCCCGCACCCCGTCCCGCAGATCGCACACCTCCGAGCTCTTGCAGCCGGCGGAGACGCACGCCACCGTGCCCGTGCGCGCCTGGCAGGTGCAGCGCCGGCCGCAGCGCTCGTCCGCCCAGAACTCCTGCCCCGGCGTGTAGTACTGGCCCTCGTGGCTGCAGCCGCAGGCGCCCTTCTGCACACAGCTGCTCCCGCTCAGCACGAAGCCGCTGTCGCAGACGCACGTCTCCGCGCAGGGCAGCTGGCAGCGGGCGGGAGCGTCGAGGTCGCCGCAGGACGCCGGGCAGGCGCTGCCGCAGGCCTCGTAGTGGCTGTTCTCCGGGCAGTCCAGCGCTGCAGGGGGAAGAGGAGGAGAGGTCAAGAGCTACGGGATCTTTCTCGGCAGGTCTGCGCAGTGCTGGGAGCTGTGGAAGTAAACCTCAGAGCGAGAATCGGAGGCCAGATTTGCTGCGATTACTCGCGATGGCGGGACTTACGACAGGAGGCCAGGGTTCTCCAGCTGCCCGTCAGCTTGGCTCCTTCCCGCCGACAGGCATCGGCGTAGCTCTCCAGGGCCTCGCAGAGGAACTTCCGGTAGCCCTTGTTGATGCAGACGTCGTAGACGCAGTTGTCCACGTACTTCTCGGGGTTCAGCGTGGCGTGGCAGCCGGCGAAGGGGCCGTCTTTCTTGGCCATGAGCCCGCAGAAATCCTCCCCGCGGTACTTCTCCTGCAGGGTCAGGGAGCAGCTGGGACACTCCCCGTTGCAGTGGTGGTGGCAGAAGAGGTCCTTGTCCTCGACCTTCCAGCTGCTGGCGAAGTCCAGCACGGCGGTGACCAGCTCCCCCCTGGGGTTGGAGAACTCGTCACCGCGGTCGCCGTTGTAGTTGCCGCAGAGGCCCCCCAGCAGGCGGAAGTAGCTGCTGGGCACCGTGATGAACAGGGCCATGTTCCAGTCGTACATCACCTGCAGCTCGAAGTCCGTCGTCAGCAGGGCGTACCGCCCGCTACGCGCCACCCGCAGTTTCCCGTTGACGAGGGTGACGGGCAGGTTGCTGGAGATGCCGTTTACCTGGATGGGGCCACAGCAAAACAAGAATCAGGAAGTTACACCATGGGGGCACACGCCTTCGTACTTTAACCTCAGGCTGCGAGCTTGGCATTCTGTTAACAGAGCACCTCTTTCATCTCACACGAGCACGAATGCTAGCGTCAGTGCCAGTGATCTGCCACTAGAGGTCACTTGGGCCTCTATTGTGTGCAAGGTATTGCATGTAGTGCATTACTGATTAGTGCAACCCTCCCTGCCGCCACCCAGTCAACCTCCCCTCACTAAGGCCAAGGGGCACTGAGAGTCGGTGCCAGGAGTCGTGCCTCGTCTATCTCCAGTGTTGCTGTGGGTTCCCAGGAGTCACTGTTTTCCAAGAAATCCATGCAAGCCTCCCACCCCCATCTGCCTCATCCCGACTCTTCCCCCTCCGAGCGCAAGCAGCTTGCCTGGACAAGTCCCAGTCCCAGCTGACTCGAAACATGGCCCGAATCATTCCCTTACCCCAACTTTCCCGCTGTCGTATTTGCTGATGCTGATGGTCTGGCCGTAGACGGTGATGGTGACCGTCCGCACGAAGGACACCTTCGTGTTGCCCCTGTTCTCGTTCTTGGCGGTGACGGCGAACTGCTCCAGGCCGCCGGCGTCGCCGCGGGTGGCGGACAGGGTGTAGCTGCAGGTGCCCTGGAAGTCGAACTTCCTCCCGTCGAAGGTGGTGTAGTGGGGGTCCCCCACGGCCTCACAGGTGGCTTTGGAGATGTGCTTGCAGACGCCGGCACGGCACTCCTCCTTCTCCCGGCACTTCACAGCCGCGCAGGGATCCGGCGGCGGGGTGGGAGCAGGAGCTGGTGGAACAAGAGAACCACGCGGTGAGGCTACAGCTTTTCGGACTCCTCGGCCCCTTTACCAGTGGCCACTAGGAAGCTCCAGTTAGGATTACACAAGCATGAAGTTAGTCAGTGTAGCTGCATTTTGACATGCAAGGTTGCTTTGCCACTTAGAGGAGAAGGTGACTAATCACTGGCAAAGGAAGATCAAAGGACAGCAGAAGGACACCTTTTCCTATGCTTACCCCTCTGGCCTCGTTCGCCAGAGTCTGGCTTGGAATTAGTCAGACTACGCAAGGACCTTGCGCTTGCAAATACAACGATCAAAGGCTAGCAGAAGGTCATACTGGGGTAGGCTTTGATCCTTACCCCCTGCATGCACCTTTTGCTATTGTAAGGCTTGATTCCGAATCCTAACCTCGAACCCCACCACTACCCCTGAACCTGCTCCCACACTATTGAACAGCTTAGTCCTGCAGAAGACAATCTGTGATTGCCCCTCCCCAGACAGGGCCTGGACCCACGTGGACCCAGTCCTCTCCCTACTGGCTCACCCGAGTAGCACACGCCCGTGTTGCCGTATCCATCGTGGGGCTTCCCGCCGTAGACGTACACCGCCATGAGGGCGTCGCTGCTGATGACCCAGTGGCGCTCCGAGGTGGCGAGGTCGAGGCTGGACCACACGTACTTGGAATCCGCGCCGAAGCGCTCCCACTTCTTCTGGGGGTTGAGGCTCCTGCCATCCGCCTTCAGGCTGCCGACGCCATCGGCCTCGATCACGATGGCCGCCTCGCTGTTGAAGCCGCCCTGGGTGTCCGCGACCCACCGGTTGGCGAACTCCGCCGTGGGCATGACGTTGATCAGGTAGGGGTCGTACTGGCCACCCCCGCCGTAGTACATGACCATGACCCTCCGGTCGCTCTCGATGCTCAGGGGCGCGAACGCCCCCACGCCGGAGTCCCAGACGTCGCCAGCCATGAGGGTCCTGCTCTCGGTTGCGCTGCCCTTGCCGATCCGCACCAGCGTCTTGTCTTCGGCCGCCACCACGTGGACCAGGTCCTTGGAGGGCAGCGCGTTCATGGGCGGCACCAGGAAGCGGGTGGAGAAGCGGTCCACCGGCACGAGCTGCTCGTACACGTGGTTGCAGTACTGGGCCCGGACCGAGCACTGGTGCCCAGCCAGCACGGCCACAGGCTGCTGCGCCTTGACCCGGGTCCCAGTGAGGGTGCACCTGCTCTTCAGCTGGTAGAGCTGGTAGGGCGCCAGCGAGACGGTGATCTTACTGCCCGGCTTGTAGCCAACACCGTTGATGGTGATCTGCTCTCTGGGGATGATCTCGACCTGGTTGGCGTCTTTGCCGTTGATGACGACGGCCATTTTGTCCATGTCGGACAGACCAGTGTTGGGCGTGAAGATGACATACTCTCTGCCCAGCTGCAGAGTGGGGTACACCACGGCGCTGTCCCCAGTGGACGTTTTGGTGTTGTAGGCCACCACCGAGACCTCGTAGTCGGAGGTGACGCGGACCGTCTTCGTGCAGTACCCGGTGCCCTGCAGCTCGGCGGCGTTCGGCAAGACGACGTGCTCCGTGGCCCCCTTGTTCACCATCACCGTCTTTGAGAAGCCGAGGGCCTGCACCTCCACCTTGACCGTGGCTTTGGATCGGTACGAGGCGATGAGCAGCTCGAACTGGGGGTCGTAGGAGTTTGCTCTGAAGTTGGTCATGAAGGCGGTGAGGAACTCCGTTCCTGTTGGACACAAGCCACTGGCATCTGGGAAACAAACAGATCGAGGAAAGGGGTGCTGAGCCCAAATTGCTCCTTGACTCACTTGCACAGGTCACAGGTACTTTAGAATGTCTTTAAAGAAGCAGACCACTGCAGCTGCTTACTTCCTTTTTCCACAAAACCAGTAGGTAATTTCTCAGATAATGTCCCTGACACTGCTAACTGATAACTTCTTAAAAACACTAGATCTGGGCAATTTGAAAAGCCATTCAGGACCCGTGAGTGTGATTTTTTTTTTAAAAGTGTAAGTCCCCCAGCAAAATATATCCATTTGACTCAGGTATTCAAAAAAGCCTAAAAAATATAACTAACAGCATGGCTGTCCACTTGTCCTCTGGTTGAATCTGAGGGGTCCAGCGCATGGGCTGTCAGTGCCTTTGAGGGGACCTGATCTAAATACTCAATCCTGAGATGCCTCTGCAGTGTTTCTTAACGTTCCCATTTTATTTCAGCTGCAAACATGATGCATTTTCTACCTATACCAGAATCTAGATGGCCGTTTTGAGTTCGGAAGTGCAGGCCCCTAATTTAACAGTCATTAGAGGTGTACCCCAGGGACACTACCCCAATTTAAGCATTCACCCCATTTACCTGTGCTCCCTTGACCAGTTCTGCATTCAAAGACACCATACAGTACCTTGAATGCTTATCGCCTTGCTGGGAATTAATCTAAGAGAAACTTTGTCACGAGCCTTCAGAGAAAGTAAATATACAGTATTGTTCTCTGTATGCATTTTTGCCGTTTCTTGTTCAAATAAAGAAAAGCGAGACCTGCCTTTATCTAACGTATACATAGAAATCAACCAACAGGCAGTGTCCGATACCCCTGGGGCAACTTTTGAGCAGTGCTGAATTGCGAACTGGGTTGGAATATTGAACAAACAGCTGCATGAAAGGCTGACCGAGAGCATCTGCTTACCGTTCACCAGCATGGCTGCTACCCACAGCAAAAGTATTCTGGTCTCCATGGCTGCAGAAACAGAGTACAGGAAGGCTGGTCAGTATCGGGGCGCTGTGGCAGGGAACCCCACATGTGAGGCTGTAGAAACTTGCAGTGGCAGGACTATTTCACTCAGTGTGAACAGAAAGAGGGGGAAACTGTCTGTAGTTCTGCTGCCAGGACAGCGAGACAAGTCCCACCAGTGGAGCTCACCGCCAGACTGCGAAGTCAGCAGGTGCCAGGACAGCGCCCCTGTGTGGACAGAGACGGCAATTCGGCTTTGTCACAGTCTCATCACCGCTCCCAGTTACAGCGCTGGGGTCCGTGACGGGTGCAGCGCTGAGCGCTGATCGCCGGTCAGATGGCTCCTGGATTTTTACTCGCGCTTCCAAGTAAGAGCAGGGTTTCCTCTGACCCATTACAGCTCTTCGGGAACACAGTGCAGATCGGGACTAGAGTATTGTCAAGCTTAGACAGGACACACTCCTACACACGTACAGCAATTAACACAGCCAGCAGGTCTGCAGAAGACAGGAAGAATCCCGAGCGCTCGGAGAAAATCCACGCGAACGAATTCGATATTTAGGTAATTATATTTAAAAAAAATACTCGAGTCTGTCCGTCTATTATGCGTTTCTCTATTCAAAGAGAGATTCACGTTTAGACCTAGGCTTCCAGAACTTCAGCTTTTTACTACATGAATGACTCATCTAAATATCCAAACTGAATTTCATCCGCCAAATTAAGAGCAACCATTCCAAAATGATACACGTTCAGAAACGCTAGTTTTACACCTTTTATCTTCAGGAAAGCCCAATATATTCTGTCAGCGGATCATTCTGGAAGTGAGGTGCGGTTTCTTGGGTCCGTTTGAAAGCCGAACGGATTTCGTCTTGCGGAATTTTCTCCGCGATGTCAGAATGCATCGTTTTGGTGGAGCAATCGTTTCCCGTGACCGCGCTCGAACCCAGACCCGTGTAATAGGACAGCGGCGAACGGCTCTAATCTAGACAAATACACCTGGAAGCGGGAAAGGTAGAATCCATTTTTGCTAACTGTTAGAAAGGATCATTCGTTTGGAGGAACAGACATCTGCATCAGCTGTTCGAGGTGCAATACTGATTTTCTGACCGCTTCTCCCAATTCGGAGTCGCTGGGGAGCTGGAGTCTATCCCAGCACGCAACGGGTGCAAGGCGGGTAACGCCCTGGACAGGACACCAGTCCATCAAGGTGCAAACGCACTCACACTGGGGCCAGTGTTCCCAGCAGCAAATTAACCCACCAGTAGGGGAGAACACAGACAGCATCCGCAGAACCGAGCCCTGGACCGCGGCACTGAGAGACAGTGCAGTTAACCACCGCGCACCCCTCCTTCATAAACAGTTGTATCGGTAGAAGATTGCAGATGTTACAGAATGAAGAACTTGAATGCATCTCTTGCGCACATGCTGGACACAAACGCACATACTGTATATTAAAAATAAAACTCTGCACGCCGAAGATAATTACTTTCATAGCACAATATTTCTTCAAAAAATTTGAATTCTACCATGTATATTTTTTGCTTCTACAGATGTTGCTCCTGGATCGCAACCTTAAATCGTTTGCATTTCAGCGATGCGCTAAAACAATTCAACACGAAACCGACCAGCAGCGGGTTCCCAGTGGCACAAGCTGTGGTACACTCACCTGGCTCTCGCACCACCTGGAGAGGCTGAAGAGCCGCGGGGAGCGACGCCCTTATATACCCCCCGGCCGCCCCCGCGCGCGCGCGCGCCCGTGAGCTCGGCCGGCAGGTGGCTGGAGCTGCGTGTCTGCTGTTTCCCGGCAGGTGGCAGCATCTGCTACGCGAGAACCAGCACAGCTGACCCCGAGACCATCGCATCTGGAGAACCTGTGAGTATTTCACATAATTAGATTTTTATTATATCTGTTATATATTCCATATCTATCACTAGTATCTTTTTAATCAATAAATGACTACTGGAGAGACGCGCCAGTCAGATGATGAAACTGTGGTACAGCAGTTCTGCGTGGAGTTTGCATGTCCCTGCTATGTGCGCAGGTTTCCTCTGGGTGCTCCGGGTGCCAGCAACACTGAGACATGCTGGCTGCTTTTATCATTCATTCCATTTCCATTCCGCTTCGTCCAGTACAGGGTCAAGGGGAGCTGGAGCCTATCCCAGCAAGCAACAGGCACAAGGCAGGATACACCCTGGGCAGGACATCAGTCCATCACAGGACACACACACACACACACAC